ATCCACTAAAACCTTTAAAAAAATTATGGATTCTCAATCTGGTGTATTTGATAAAGCTAGCTTAGGATTCAAACAGTCTAAAAATCAAATGATGTATGAAAATTTCTTCCTTCCTCATAAAACAGAATCGAATTTCATAGTAAGGATAAAGATATTTCAAAAGAAAAAAGGTCATTAACCAAATATGTTGTCATTGCAAGAAAACAAATCACTTAGAATCAAATTGTTATTTCAAAAAGAAAAAAACAATTATCTGAAGATTATGTGGTTACTAATTCTAACAATCAAGGACCCAAAGAATAATGGGTACCTAAGATGTTACTAACACGATATGCAGGAATGTCTTCTAACTCTCAAGAAAAAGCCTTGGTACTTGGACAGTGGATGCTCTAGGCATATGACTGGAGATAAATAAAGCTTTATAACTCTCAAAAACAAAGAAGGAGGAACTGTAACCTTTGGAAAAAATGACAAAGCAGAGATCAAAGGCCTAGGTTCCATAGGTAAGAATGGTATTCATGTTATAAATAATGTACAATATGTTGAAGGGTTGAAACATAACTTACTAAGCATTAGTCAACTATGTGACAATGGTTATGAAGTTAATTTAAATCAAGATTCTTGCATTGTAAAAAATCCATCCTCAAGAAAAATTATTTTTATCGGAAAAAGACAGAAAAACCTTTATACAATATACTTAGATGACATTTCATCTGAATCATGCTTCCTAACCATACAAAAATATAAATGGTTATGGCATAGAAGATTTGTTCATGTAAGTATGAAAAATATTTCAACTTTATCAAAAGTAGCTTTCACTCTAAGAATATTGTCTCAACCTACAAACCTTTAGAACTTCTACATATCGACCTATTTGGTCCAGTTAAAACCGTAAGTTTAAGTGGGAAAATATGAGTTTGTTATAGTTGATGATTTATCCATATACACTTGGGTACTATTTTTAAAACATAAAGATGACTCTTTTGAAGCATTCAAAACATTTTGTAAAAATGTTCAAAATGAAAAAGGTTCAAATATCATAGCTGTAAGGAGTGACCATGGAGGAGAATTTGAGAAATTCTCTTTTAAAAATTTCTTTGATAAAAATGGTATATCTCATAATTTTTCTTGTCCTAGAACACCTTAAAAAATGGTGTTGTAGAAAGGAAAAATAGAACCCTTCAAGAAATGGCAAGAACTATGAAAAATGAATCAAAATTTGAAAAATATTTTTGGGCTAAGGCAATCAAATCATGCTATGTCTTAAATCGAGTATCTATCAGAATTTTTTTTAAAGAAAACTCCTTATGAACTCTGAAAAAATAGGACACCAAACATTTCATATTTTCATATCTTTGGTTGTTACTGTTACATTCTTAACAACAAAGAAATTCTAGGAAAATTTGATTCAAAATCAGATAAAGGTATTTTCCTTGGATATTCATCCACCTCAAAAGCTTACAGAATTTTTAATCTTAAAAATCAATGTGTAAAGGAAAGCATGCATGTTATATTTGATGAGTTTAATGACACAACATTAGAAAGATCTCTCGGGGATGATATTGATAACCAAGATATCATGACTATAGGACAAGAAATAGGTACGACTATTAATTCTGAGAATAAGGAAAAATCAAATCAACTTGCATCAAATCCTCAGAAAAGTTGGTGAAATTCTAGTATATAGATAACAATGTCCTAACACATGTTGAGACAAAGATCTCTGCATAACAACACTTGGACTGAATAAAGCACATTGATATAATTCATATCAGAACGGAGTCATGACAAATGTTACAACATCTTATATGATATGTCAATCAATCAAGAAATAAAACTAAACAATGAAGAATGATAATAACACAATGATATAATGACCCAGTTTGGTGTGCAATAACACCTACTATGGGGGCTACCAAGCCAGGAAGAAAGTTTGCTATCAACAATATTAGTTCAAAGCTAAACTCCCTTATTTAAAACTTCTCGCCTAATCCCTACCCAATGACACTTCTACTTAGGTCCTCCCTAAATACGAGAAATCGCCATCTCACTTCCTAAATCACCTCACTGATATCTAACAATCACAAAGTTCAGCCAAGACTCTTGACTAACAAACACACTTGGATTTGCTTCAAAGCTTTATCCAAGAACAATAATTGACTCTATCCTTAAAATCTTAAGAGATATTGACACACAAACATCCAATGTTTACAAGCTTTTTAATGAATGACAGAACCTTACAACTCAAGGAACAATCCTACTCTTCTATAAACATGATGGTCGAGAGGCTCACAAATAACATAAACCAACTCTCCTAGAGAGTGGCACACATACAAATCCCTAATGCTTCCACATTATGGACTTATACCCTTTTAGGTTACAAACAATTCTATTTATAACCCTTTTCCCAACTAGATTTGGACTTCAAATTGCAGCATTTCAGTTGCTACAAATCTGCAGAAACTTCTGCATAAAAATAGGTCTTCAATCATAACCTTCCTAATTTGTCTCCATAATTAGAAAGTTAATATTCTTATTGATTTCAACTTGAATCTTCCATAACTTAAAATCAGAACCACATAGGATATCATAATATTTCCAGAATATTATGCATCTGTTAAATCTTCAACCAATCCAACAGCCCAGTCCAACACAGTCACGATGTCGAATGACTCTGCATAGGACATCTTGTCTGACATGTTTTCTTTAGTTGATAAAACATATCAACTTAACATGTTTCTTCATAACATAGGACTTCTTGTTCAACCTATTTTTATCATCAAGTTAACTCATCCTATTTAACATATTGTTGTCATATTTGTTTTACTAAAATTAATGCCAATCATACAACCAGAGAACTAACAGTTGGAAAAACGTAACCTATCATCCTCAAGAGCAAATCCTAGGAAGCACATCTGATCAAGTAATGACAAGACAATTTTTCAAGGATAACCTAAACAACATGGAAATGATTTCTCAAGTAGAACCAAAGAACATAAAATATGCTTTAAAAGATGAACATTTGACATAAGCCATGATTGAAGAATTATCTCAGTTTGAGAAAAGTCAAGTTTGGAAATTAGTGCCTTGTCCTCAAGACAAAACCATTATAGGAACAAGATGGGTATTCAGAAATAAACTTGATGAAAATGGCAAAGTCATTCGAAACAAGGCTAGGCTAGTCGCTCAAGGATATAATCAGCAAGAAGGAATAGACTATGATGAAACATATGCACTAGTTTCCAGGTTAGAAGCAATTTGAATACTCCTTGCCTATGTTGCTCATAAAAGTATAATTTTTTTTTCAAATGGATGTCAAAAGTTCTTTTCTAAACGGTCTTTTAAATGAAGAGATATATGTTCATCAACCTCATGGCTTTGAGAAATCTTCTTATCCTAACCATGTTCTTAAGTTATCAAAAACTTTATATGGCCTTAAACAAGCTCCAAGAGCATGGTATAAAAGACTTAGTGTGTTTTTAATCAAAAGTGATTTTGAAAGAGGAAAAATTGATACCACACTCTTTAAAAAATCACATAAAAATGATCTTCTTATAGTCTAAGTATATGTTGATTATATTATCTTTGGGTCAACAAATGAAAAAATGTGTAATGAATTCTCAAATCTCACACAAAGTGAATTTAAAATGAGTATGATGGGAGAACTAAGCTTCTTTCTTGGGATACAAATCAAGAAATTTCAAGATGGTATTTTTATATGCCAAGAAAAATATACTAAAGATCTGTTAAAGAAATTTGGTATGAATGAAGCAAAAATCATGGTCGTACCTATGCATCCCTCTTCAAACCTTGAAAAAGATGAACAAGGATCATCTGCATCAGAAAAGAAATATCGAGGTATGATTGGTTCATTATTATATTTAACTTCTAGTAGACCTGACATTGTCTTTTTAGTAGGTCTGCATGCAAGATTTCAGATTGATCCAAAAGAATCTCACCTAACTATGGTCAAGCGCATATTTTGATATCTTGTTGGCACTACTGGCATTGGTCTTTGTTACGAAAAAGGAAATCATGTAAATCTAATAGCTTATTGCGATGCTGACTATGCTGGAGATACGATTGAAAGAAAAAGTACATGTGGTGTTTGTCAATTTCTGGGACAAGCTCTAATTACATGGTCATGTAGAAAACAAAATACCATTTCTCTATCAACTACTGAAGCTGAATATGTCTCTGCTGCAAATTGTTGCGCACAAATATTATGGATCGAAAATCAATTAGAAGACCACTCACTTCAATACTCCAAGGTATCAATTTTTCACGATAATATCATCGTTATTATTTTATCAAAAAATAATATTCAACACTCAAGATCTAAACACATTGAAATAAAAAATCATTTTATAAGAGATCATGTTCAAAAGAGGGACATAGAACTTATTTTATGGACACTAATAACCAATTAACTGATATTTTTACCAAACTATTAGTAGAAGAGAGACTTAATTTTATAAAAAATAAACTATCCATTACAAAAATTCCTTGTTAATGTAGTAATAAGTTTATAAAATTATCTTGAATGTACATTAAATTATGAGGTCAACAAAATTATTGCATCATGGTCTCAAGCAAACTGGTTCCTTTTTCTTCTATTTCATTCGTTCTGGCTTTTTCACTTCTTGTCGCGTTTTTTAGGCCTTACTAAAACACCATATTTACTCATCATTAAAATATTTTTTGGCCATACTCATTTAATACTCTCTGACCCATGAATCACATCACCTTACTAAAAAACCCTATCTCACCTAACCCATCATTTCACTCCGCTTATCAAGAAAGTTTTCTCCTCTCATTGTTTTACTAGTTTCACTTCCCAATATCTTCTACATCAACCTTTTCGACCCTCTCTCTCTTCTCATCTCTTTGGCTATCTATATCTTCTAAAGAAAACTCTCATGCAATCTAAAATCACAACACAAATTGTTCCTTTCTCTGATAAAAAACCCTCAAACTCAAAACCTTATCTCCTCAGAAAAATGGAAAATCCTCCCACAAAGCGTCGTACGACCAAACCTCGTCCCAAATCCACCATGCAAAATGCAACCCCTAACCCCTCTCGTCTCTCAAATCTCCTCATTCATTCAAGTGATTCTGGCAAAAATCCTAACCCACATTCAACTGCTGAAAGCAGAAACACACAAACCACCAACATTTATTCATCTTCATTTAGCGAAGTTACTGCCCTAGTCTCCATTTCGTTTCAAGAATTCGACACTCCATCTAACCTCTCTGATGAAAACTTCATCTCTGATCCTGCCATTTGAGAACTGTTTGATAGAAAATGGTGATCTGTACCTGTTGTATCTGGTAAGGTTGTTGATCTAGATACCTATACTACAAAGGGGTATATCATGAAACACCTTGCTGCTGAAATCGACTAGACAAACCTTCTTGAACTAAAAGAACCTTTCTACCCTTCCCTTGTTAGAAGTTTTTATGCTGCCACTCAACCAACCCAGTCTAATGAAACTCTTCTCTCAAATATCAATGGTGTCAAAATTATCCTTACCACCGAACTTCTTTGTCAACTTATGAATGTTCCCAACAATGGTATTCACTTTTTTTACGATGATTGGTTCACTGAATATGACACTGATAAAGAATAATTTGTTGTTACTATAACCAAAGAAATTACCTAGGAACTTACCAAAGAACTTGTCGCATCAAATCTTGAACCATTAAGCAATATCATCCATAATTTCTCTATTCATACCATTCTTCCAAGAGCTAGAAGTCTTGAGAAGGTCAACGAGCAAGATATGTTGTCGATGTATCATCTCACCAAGTGTATCCCACTTAATCTTGGGTATGTAATCTTGAGCTACATCAAGTATATGTTTACAAAAGGATGAAGTTCTCCATACAGTATGCTTCTTACTAAAGTTTTTAACCATTTTAATATTCCTATTACTGAAAAACAAGATAAAGTCAAACACATGGTTAATGCATCCAAACTCAGTCGCATGTGCATCCCTACCCTCAATCTTGTTGCTCCTCTTACACAAAAACGAAAATGCCTCGTCAAAGCTTTTGCTCCTTCAAAATATTTGAAATTCAGCCAAGCTTCATCTACTTCAATTTCATCCCCTGTTAACATCCCAATATCAACTCCTCTACCCATATTTGTTGAATCACCAAAACTTCCTACAACTCCACCACCTGAAAATCTAACTGTGGAAAATCCCCCTATGACTGAGGATATGAGTTAAAATCTTCCTAAATATCCACTCCGTGCTATGAGTCCAATGGTTAAGGATATCTCGTCCCATGGGGTACCAGACTCTCCAAAGATCATTCATGCATCATCTGGTCTTGAGAACATCTTTGCTGAATTAACAACCTCTGAGGATATCAACCCAAATGTTGAGGATATAAATCAAACTTTTGAGGATATGGATCTGGCCACTGAGGATAGGCACCAAAATGACGAGGATATACATTTAGCTGCCAAGGCTTTACTCTAATAAACTGTAAACTTCTCTCTAGCATATGACTTCAATCCTCTCCAAGTTATACTCTCACCTAATGCTCTTTCATCTCCGCCTATTAGTCACTCCATAACTCAATTAAATTCAATGATCTCAATGCTGGAAGCTGAACTCCTTCCAACCCAACAATATGCTAATCTAACACTCTCATCATCTCCAATCATTGCTCCTTCCACTATCATCCTTATCTCTACTCACAGAGAAACCACCCCAGATGTCTCTACACATCCGTCCCAACTTGCTACACTAGAAACACTCTCTAAAGAGTTCAATCATTAAATTGATACACTGCTCTTTCATCATCAAAACCAATATGTGGAACAACAATATGGAATTCGTAATGCTGACCCTAGTCCTCTTATCATTATCCCTGATCAGGCATGTTTACATATTGAGTCCCTAATTTTCTCCTCCCCAAAAAATGGAGACGCTGGCTTTGATATAAATACTCTACTGCTACCCCTAAAGTATGACTTCTCTCTACCATACAATACCATGAATGATTCAAACACTCTACTTCCTGATCCTGCAAGGATAACCTCCTTAAAATCATCATTCTTCGGTGGCATCCCAAGCATGAACACCCACCCTCCTGTCCATCATAAATCCTCCACGCCGTCTGATCCGCCAAACCCTAATGATGACATCTATCTTAGGTCCATGACTGCTCTTCAGAAACGAAGGATGGCAAATGATGCTTTTTGGGCTGACTATAGTACTACAAAAGTATGCCCTTGCTTTCCTGGTCTTCCTACTCTGGACATTTCAACCATGCAGTTTCCATAACTCCCTCTATCCTCGGAAGCTACTTCAGACAATGAGGCTCCAGCTCCTTAGTGCCTCTATTCGTTATGACTGCACTTTTGTCCCCCTTCTTTTTTCCTGCTGACAAAAGGGGAGAACAACTTATCGAGATTTTGTTTTTGTTATTTTCATGTCTTTTTATCTAGCAGCTTTTTTGTTTGAAACTAGATCCTTTTGTTTATGCTTTAACACATTGATGAAAATAATGTATTGATCCTCAAACAATTAACTTATAAATATATTATCTATCTATGAAATTATCTTTCAATGTTTCATCTCACGCAAATACTTCTTATTGTTAAAACCTTTGTATCTATTTATTAAAATTGAGGGGGGGCATTTGCTCTTCAAAAGCATGCATAATTTCAGAGGGAGATTCTAAACTAACTGCTCTCATCAAGGACATAAAATAAAAAGTTTGTCACCATTCAAAAAGAGGGAGAATGTTGAAGCATATTCTGGTTTTGAATCTAACAAACTATTTTGTTAAAGAAACTCTAATACATTTCACTTTAAATAAAGTCAACTGCAGTGTCATCAAAAGACTTAACAAGACATTCTCAAACAAAGGATTCACATAAATTGAAGACTTACAAACATTATTAGAAGATAAGCTGCATTAAAGGATAAGAATTATCTGAGGATAACCATTATCTTAAGATAAGTGTTATATTAGGTTAAAAATTATTCAAGAATAAGAAATTACAAGGAGCCACTGGTACTATACAAAAATAGTACTCCTCAGTCTTTGTCAAGATCTTCTAGAGGACATCTAAAAATGTAAATTCTTATCCACTAGATCATTTCATAATTTTGAAGAAAGACAAAGGACATACTTAACAAATATTTCAACAAATTAATTTTCCCCTCTATAAAAAGGACAACTCATATTTCTTTCAACACATACTTCAGAACAAGAAAATCAGAAACACTGTTAATCAAAAGCATCATAAACCTATAACTTCTTATCATATCCTCACTGCCACATAGTGAGCTAAGAAAAGCTTGTTGTAATCATATTATAAGCTCCATTGTTCTTATTTTACCCTCACTGCCACATAGTGAGTACTCAAAGCTTGTAGTATAAGCAAAACACATATACACAAATCAAACACTCTTGTAAGTTCACTGAAAGCTATATTATTCAGAAGTGTAAGCCTGGTGAGGCTAAGAATACATAGAAATAAAAGATATTGAAAGGAGAATCAATAAAGGATAATCTCACTAGGTGTGAGTACTGGACTAACCAAGTTGGCGAACCAAGATAAGTTATTTGTGTCCATTCTATTATTAATTTACTAAATTTGATTTATACCACATAATCAAACACACACTTACATATTGCTAATTGTTCTAACTAATCCTGGTAGTTATAAATTACTTCATTATTCATATACTCATAGTACAGTCATGTCCTCAACAATTTTTATACTTCACTATAAACTTTATTTTTTTAAAGGGCACAATCCACCCCCACCCCCATTATTGTAACAATTCTTTTTACATCACTCCGCCTTATTCTTAGGTTCCACACAGTCACTACTAAGGAAATTTAGAAAGAAGAACCTCCTTTTTGCACAGTGGAATTTGTCAACACCAATGACAACTCCTTAGTCTTGCAACAACCTGAAAACATTTACACAATCTTCAAAAATGTAAAGTTTCAAGACAACGTCTTACCATATCAATCACAGATCTCTCATTATCAAGATCTGAAAACAAAAACTTAGGTTGAAAAATAATGAAACTCGAATGCAATAGTTTTGAACTTTTTAAAGTGAGAGTTGATTTCACAGAAAATCACAAATGCTTATGAAATTCTACACATGAAATTTTTTTACAAAAGGTTTTATATGTGATTGAGATTAAGCACAAAAAAGAGTGATAAAAGTTTGTTAGATTTAAATCAAGAATAATGCATGGTTTGAGTCAAATGAGCAAGTGAACGAAATAAAAAGAAATCAAAATTTTGACCCATTTTTCTCATGATTAGAATCAAGTACAAAGCATAATTCAAGTCAATGATCATGTGATTTGAATCATATAAAAAATGTGATTGAATCAACTACAACAGGCCCTTCAGGAAAATGTTTAAAATTTGTGTTATTTGAAACATGTACAAAGTGTAATTCAAATCAAATTAAGCAAAGGTGACCAGTAAATTGCATGATTTGAATCATTTACAAAATCTTATTTGAATCAAATTATTCAAAAAGCTTTATTTCACCTCTATTAGATTTGATTTGAATCAGAATGTGTGTTAAACTTGACTGATTTGAATCAAACACACAAAATCTCAATTTTCGTGTTTTTAAAGTACTTTGAGATTTTTCTTTGCACCTAACTTGAATCAAACACATATGCCTTTTATTCCACAAACTCATGCAATTGACAAAAAGCATCTTGGTCAAGTTCAAACATAACCATTGTTTTATGCATGCCAAAAATGATACCGAATCGAATTCAAATTTGATTTAAAAGATGTACAATCATGAGAGAGACCCAATAAATGATAATAAACGAAAGTGTTAAGACAACCAACAAAATAACCGTATTGGGGATGCTCCCCTGCATGTGATAGGGAACATGCAACAATCTCTCCCTAGAGATATACAGTTGTAAAATGCATATTTCTTAGGGAGTCATGGGCATGACTTTGCACATGCAGTTATGGACTATGTAAATGTCATTATCCATGTTTTCCCTTTAGATGAAACCCCCTACTACATGAGGGTTAGCCCCAAGCGACGCATTGTGAGGTGGGCGCCTGGTGAATGCAAGACATGTGTTGCCCCATTTATGGGCCCTCACAAATATCTCTCTCTAGGATCTAACACCCTGAACATCATTGAGATATCATAATGAAATTTTATGGCAACCTTTGCCTAAAGATGATATTGTCGTCTTACATAAGAATTTCCATATAAGAGATAACTTGACTTGGAAGACATCAATCATCAAAGATGTTGCACCTTTGTGCCAGATGATGCAACCATGGAGGTTGTGCATGCATGAATCAATACCAACAAGGTATTCATCTTCTAGGATTATGATAATAATTATATTCACTTTGCGCATGGTTGATGAAGTTGACTAAGCGGAATATCAAATATATAATTAGAGGTTTGCGCAAAAGATTTCTTATTGGTCCTGGAAGAAGTCGAAACAAATAGTTTTAGCTGAGATGGTAGACAAGATCATATGATTTCAGTCGTGGTGGTGGTGGTGGTGGAAGGAAAGAGTCGGTGGAGTAGGGTTTAAATTTCTCCATACCGAAGGAAGTTAAAAATCTCCCGATTTTCTTTCTCTATCACAAACAATTTCTTTTCTTATATTTTCGAGACAAAAATGGAGAAAAATTGATTGAATGACTAAAATGACTCAATTTTTTTTTTGTGCAAATGACTAAAATAAATTGATTTTTTAATTGAATAAATAGAAAGAAAAAAAAAGAATAGAATGAAACAATTCGTTAATCTATTAAAGTCCATAAGAAAATAGTTAAAGATATTCAATCTAATATATCCACTAAACATAAAATGCAATTCAATCCATCTATTATCATATTTTAATTGAATGTACATCTATATTAATCCATGTAATTTGTTTTGAACATTCTAAAAACTTTATTTATTATTTTCAAAAACTATTTTCTTTCAAATATAAAAATATATCTTTGTTATTTCATAAAAAATATATATATTAAAAAACTAGTTTTCTACATAATTTAAAAGAAAACTGTTTTTTATTATTTTAAAAAAAAAACTTATAAAAAGTGGTTATTATTTGTTAGGTGTGTCAAAGTCTTGTGCTAATTCTCAAAAAGTTTTAACGTACGACCAACTCATATTAGTCGCATTAAAGAAAACGAATGTGTTAGTGCGCTCAAGGCAAAAAATTTAAGTATGGAAAAAATATGAATAATGCGGTGAGCGTGGATCGAACACGCGACCTTCAGATCTTCAGTCTGACGCTCTCCCAACTGAGCTATCCCCGCTGATGAAATTATTACCATAAAAGAGAAAATCAAGTTATTTTGAACCATTTTTTGGTTATTGAGAATTATGCCCCTCTCACCCTTCCACCATTGTTTATTCATTTGTCATATTCTATTGCTATCAGGAATAAAGAATGAAATCCAACTCTATTTTTCATTTTCTTAATAACTTGATTCAGATATAAGAATGATGCATGAGCCATCATAAACTTGATCCTAGTTTCATTCATACACTGCTTCAGATTGAAGTATACATCATTGCTTCCTCGTGAAAATGAGCTATGTAGATCAATAACACCACATATACCCTTTCATTTCAAGTAACATTGCCATATAAATATAAAATACTCTACACATCATAGTGTCAGTATTCACACACACATACACACACAAAACAGACTTATCATGTTCATAATACACGTGAAAAATCTACATCCAAAAATCTGTGAAGATTCACTTTTTTCAAAAGTGACATCAATATGTCACAGTGCTAGTTACAATACTATGTTGTCACGTAGTATTAGTCAAACAAATTTCCAAGTGCGTTTATCTTTCCACATGCAACTGGCAACATCTCCTTTTCATTTTGTCTTTGAGGAATCACATCTTGGTAACATGACATACTTGACTCATCACTACCTCCTTCAATCACTCCTTGCTTTTTCGTATACTCCATTTTGTCTTGAAACAGATATATCAATCCAATGAAAGTGACTTCCACTGTGAAAACTATACTCCAAAACATTGTGCTTTTTAATGTTCTCTTATGATACGCTATTAATCCTGTGTAAATGTTTATGATCCCCACAAAAGACACTATTGTTCCTAGTATCCAATGTACTAAATACCAATAACTCCTTACTTTCTTTCCTCTCTGAGGTCTGAAAAATCCAATGAAAGCTTGTAGCAATATAGCACCATAAAGTGCTAGACCTAATCTTTGATGATTGTTATCAAATGAATTTTCAAATTTTTTCAATGACATAGCAGCTCCTACTGTGGCAAGAACCACTGAAAGCATCTGTTAGATGAAATGTTAGTTCAAATGATAATCATAATAATTATAACAGATAATACTAATATAATCATGTTTGGTAATTGGTAGTATAAAAAAAAAACATTAATTGGACACACCACTATAAAAGTTAAAGTATGCTATGATTATGATGTTGTCACACAGATCAAAACTTCAATGATTACATAATGTAACTTTGAAGAAAGTACCTCACTTACTCCACTAATCAAGTTTTAACAAAAATAATCAACAAATTAATGGAAGAGATGTAATACAATATAGTACATGACCTGAAAAGCAACATGGAGATAGAAGAGTATTCTACTCTTTCTTGATCCAGGTTCAGCTTTATTTGATCCTCTGATTGCAAGTATTCCAAGAGGCATTAAGAATCCCATTGAACCCCATAGAATAAATCCATGTAATGCTATATCAGATGATTTCTGATGATGATCATGATTTACCTGCTATATTAATTAATTAACCACAAGTAGAACATGAAGATAAAATACATAGGAAACTCCAAAAAATGAAATTGGTATATATGTACCTTGTGAAGTTTGTTATTTGTGTTCTTGTGGCTATTGATCAGATTCACCTCCTCCAAGGTTGTGCATTGAGTGAAAGGAAGAACAGAAGCATAAAATAAAACCATAACAAAGCACACTAACATGTAAGAAATATGCATATTTAGTTACTAGTTTCTTCACTTTGTTTCTCACACTGTCTCTCTCTGAGTTTTGAAAGTAAAGATGGTTTAGGAAATGATGTTTTTGGTATGGCAGAAGAGGTTATAAGGTGTGTTAATGAAGGGACTTTATATGCTTTTTATATAAAGAAGCTTTGAATGTTTAAAGGGATGATACATTATACATGCAATATGAATATGTTAGTTGAATGTTAAATTTACAAAGTATATAGTAAAATGAAAAAAGTTGAGACTATATATTACGCTACCTGACTTTTCTAACGTGTGGTTGGTTGACAATTTATACCAATAGGTCAAAATTTTAGACAATTTCTTAATCCATTCTATGATTTTTTTTACGCACAATGTGAAATTTCATAAATGTTCTTCAAAGTTAGAAGTATATTTTCAGTGCGCACCTAAATTTGATAAAGTGTACATAGAAACTGGAAATATAAGTCTGGTTTGGAACCGGAGGTGTATTTTCGGTTTTATTCTTTATAGAAACCAGAAAATATTATTGAATTGCATCACAACATTATTGAATTGCATCATAATCTCACAATATAATTCATAACATAAACATAGCAAATACATTTAGGAGTTAAATATAAATCAAACGTTACAAATCAACGTCCAGGTGGATATTGCAACATCATGATAATATCATCGACCGATCTTATTATAGTCGCATCTAGCTCGATCAAAATTTTCTTCTCAAAATAGTCAAAAGTATTCCACATAGCCCGTAGATCATCGTTGTTCTTCAGCTCACGGTTGATGAACACAAGCTTCCCATCTTTGTCAATATCAATTATGAGCACGGTGGAAAACGTATTGAACAATTTAATGGAATCAGAATGAGCTCAATAAATATCTCTTACTGTTATCTCATCATCACCTCGTCGGTGCCTACAAACATAATTGTTTTCATCTAGAAGTTTCAAGAGGTGTTGCATCTCGGTTCGATCCTCCTTAAGTGCTATTATGGTCATGTCTCTATCTCCTACCGGAAGTATACATCTGATTTGTATGTAACCTTTTTCTACAGAAAGGAAATAAGGGTTGAAATGAATAAATTTTACCTGAAATTCTACTTCCTTGAGCTCTTTCTGATATGATGAACCACAAAAATGATTATTTAGAGTGGAAAATAGATTGAGAATGATGAGGTTTTTTAGAAGTTTTAAGGAAAGAAAGAAGAAATGGTGGTGATCAAACATGACCATATTGGTTACTGTTTTAAGTAACCTGCATCATCCATAAAACCAGAATTATACTCCCGGTTATATATAAAATATCAAGGTGGGAACAAAATTTAATCTTCTCGCTAATAGAACCAGAAACAGAATTCCAATTTAGAATCGGAAATATACCTCTGGTACCATTTTTTGCATTTTGAAGGGTGAAACTATATTTGATCTGTTTTGTGCAAAATATGGTGCGAACCAGAAGTATATTTCTGATTTTCTGAGGGGCAATTTCGGAATTGCATAAGGTGTCCCTTTTTCATATGGGGTGGGGTAAGAAATTCTCAAATTTTATTGATATGCATTTGAATATATAGATTTTGAGGTGAACAATTTGTATGTAAATGATTAAAGTGGATAAAATTATGTCAAATCAATCCATAGAATTTTTATTCTTAATGAATTATAGTTTATCTCAATTTGTTCTTGCGAGATATTTTAGTTTGATGTCATTTCTCATTATATTATCAATATAATAAAATGAGTATTTATAACAATTAATTAACGTCGACTCATAACGACTTTGATAAAAATATCTGCAATTTGAGATTGCATACGAACATGAAGAAATAATGTTAGTTGATCATCATATGCATTAAATATTGAATGATATAATCAACTTCTATATATTTTTTGTGTTCATGAAAAACGAGAATGACAACAATTTGGACGACACCTGCATTTTTAGCATAAAGTGATGTAGGCCTTGTATTTCGTGCCGACCAGAGGCCCAGTAAGATAAGACTCACCTATTATGCCTGCTCCATTGAGCTCAAGGTGTAAATACCTCCACAAAGGGTTTTCAGGAACACAATCTCTTAATCTCTAATCTCACTATGGTTATCTTGAACCCTAAACTGACTTGGGTGTTGGGGTGATAATCGTGATAATCTTGAACCCTCTGATTCATCGTATTAGAAATCAGCAATATCGATTCATGATCGACATTAATTAATGATGTTGATTCAAGATCAACGTCTCCGATTCTAGTGGCATCACGATTGCAACCTATGATCCACGATGTTGCATCATTGAATTGCTTACGAAGCTTTGTTTCGTCGCAGTTTCCATAATATTTTATATTTCTGGTTCTGTAATGAAACAATGGCGCCATTTATGAGAAACCGCTTCTGATTCCTGTGATTTCCATAATTTTAGACCCTACTTTCGACTCATAACCTCATAACATCCTCATGGCGTCGAATCAGAATCACATTCAACCTTCTAAACTGAACTATCTCTGTGAATCCATGTACCTTGTTCGGTTCCTTCGTTCGTACCTCTCCAGATCTCTAAAGCGAAGATTTTCAGAGGTAAGCACAGAGGTTCGCTGCAGCCAACTCAATTGGTCACTGCTTCAGCCTCAAATTCACCATCAAGTTTTGTTATTTCCTCGAAAACCTTGCAGATCAACAGAGGAAATGATCTCAGATCCATATCTAGGATTACACTGATTTCTGAAGGCAATTTATGAGAAAGCCGGGCGCAAGCCCCACCAACCGAGCAAAGACATTCACGCTTTCCCCCACGACCAGGATGGTTATGAAGGCAACATCAGGAAGGTATCGCAAGTTCATAGTTAATGGCGCCCGGGTGCCACAAGTTTGTAGTTAACGTCGGGTGTCAAACGAATATTAGGATGCACCGTATATATCCTATAGGATTTTCACATGATGCACCAGGGCTTCCACTGACTGGACAATAAAACATAGGTCCATTGGAGATGCCCGATGAAGGATATTTCGATCCCCGACCGTCACAAAACTTGATGGTATCTGTAATACGGTGGGAGAACTGACTTTTTTTGGTTTTATCCAAATGTGCGGATATCAAGAGTCGCCACCGACTTTTCTTTTATCCAATATTTAAGAAAGGTGAAAATAACAGGAAAGACCTTTGATAGATTTTGAGTTCAGGGGGTAAGTTATGAAAAGGGAAGGTGTTAGCACCCTTTTCATCCGTAGTTATCTACGGGCTCTTAATTGCTTAGCTCACTTTTAAAAATCTTGCTTTGTGTGTGTGACTTGTTTCAAAATATTTTGAAAAGCCAATGTAAGGTTAACTTTGTAATGATTCTTGTATCAGTCCTTAAGAATGCGTACAAAGTATTTTTTTGAAAATATTTGTTTGAAAGTGTAGTGTGAGAAATGTTTTGTTTGTGAGAAAAGTTGTGAGCAAGCAATTAGGAGTTTCTTACCCACTAAAGTCTTTCTTATTCTTTTCCTTCTCCTTTAGAGATAGTGTTATCCATACCATTAGTTGGTAGGTAGCCCTATTCATTGGATATGAAGGGACATGCGTAGGGCCATCGTATGGTCATCGAAGGCAACATGTAAGGATACTTTAACAATTGTATCAAAGGGACTATCATCGTTTTGCTCGTAGGGTCATCGAAGGGACTAGATCAATTTATAGACAGATTGAAGGGTCATCGAGGGATTATAATCTTTATTCGAAAGGGACTATGATAATTTGAACGAGGGTCTTTTTGCTAAAGTATCCCCACTTTTAAGGGATGTGACCAATATCGTAAGACAACAAGGGAGGTTACCCAAAAGGTACAAGTGTGAAAAGTGTGTTTAGTTCAATTATATTATCTTGAATTAGGGTTATCTATGTTGATTTTAGTCTTGCCATACAAACCCTAGTTACTAGCAATATAAAATATAGCAGGAAAAGTAAATGTGCGAAAAGTAAAGACCTAAGTTATTACAAGGCTTTGGGGCAGTTACATAAGAAAATGCGAGAAAGTAAAGTGCGGAATTTAAACTTAAGCTATTACAGGGCTTTGGGGCAGTTACATAAGAAAATGCGAGAAAGTAAAGTGCGGAATTTAAACTTAAGCTATTACATTCTGTGAGCAGTTATATAATAGGAAAAATGCGGAAAATAAATCTACGGTATTACAAGAAAAAGTTGTGTGACCTATACAATTTCTCTAAGAAAATAAATAGCAAAAGAAATAAGAAAATGTTAGAAAAATGTTTGAATGTTTTTTTGTATTATTTTGTGAAAAATAATTTGAGTGATATTAGTAATAAAACCTTAATTCTAATTAATTTTAAGATTAAAAAGAAATGTTAATTAATTAATTAGGAAAGTTAAATATTAGTTTAAAAAGCTAATCCTAATTCATTAGTAAAAAAATTAGGTTAATTTAAGATTGACTAAAAGTAATTAGGGTTAGAAAATAAAAGGAAAATAAAGCAAATTAGGTTAAAAGAGAAAATAGGAAAAAAGGTTGCATGGGGTGGGTGTTGAACCCACGCCCTTTAGCTTTCACGCTGCATATCTTGCCACCAGGCCAAGTGCTTGTTGGTGTTAAGAAATAGAACGTGAATAATATATTTGGAACTTGCGCGTTAGATGGAAAATAACAAAAAATATTTGCAAGAGGCAGGGATCGGACCCACGCCCTTACGTTCACAAACCAACGCCTTGACCAGCGGTGCTACGCTCTCATCCGCTTACATAATACAAACAAATAAATATAAAATAAACTAGTGGATCAGAGAGGCGCCGGAGTCCTAGCTCCGGTCGTCTTCTCTGGTGAGATGATTTTTTCAACCTGCAAAATAGCGCACGTTAGTGATCAAGAGATACTAATGGTGGCCTTAGTGTTTGCTAATTCATTCTGCACAAAGAGATACTAACAAAATAACACAAAACGGTTCAAACATGGTGATGCACGATTCTGGCGTTATGGGCCTAACGTAAGGGATCAGACCTGTGTTATTTTGTCTTAGGAAC